TTATAGATTATTTAAGTTATTTTTTTCATTTTTAGAATTTATTTAGTACAAAGTTCATTTTCATAGCAATTTAAAAAAAAAACAAAAATATTGATAAAAAACAAAATTGTTTTCATGAAATTGAATACAAAGTTATTAATTATCACTTTACTCATACATATGTATACATATAAAATGTTTAATATGGGCACATGTGCTTTTAATCTTTGTAAAGTACAAAGCAAATTCTTTCAATTCTTTGAAATTTTATAATCAATTCTAGATATTAATAAAATCTACAATACACACCTACATGGTGATAATAAAATAAAAACTATATCATAGATAAATTACTAAATTTAGGTATGTACGAGTATGTAGGTACATATGCGTATATCCAGGACAAAAAAAATTATATTATAACAATATGTCGGTTTAGATATTCTGATATTGTAATTTTGATAACAAAATAAGATAAAAATAAACGTAATCGCGCTTGGATACTTTAATAAATTTATTTTATCGCGAAAAAATCGAAACAAAACAAAACTTTTGGATACATTTTTTGCCTTTTTTATTTATAATTATTTTTTTCTTTTTTTGAATTTTTTTTATCAAGATGCTTATTATCGCGATGTTCTTAATTTCATTTCACTGGGAATTTAATTTTGATATAGAAAAGATTAAGAAGACGCGTAATGAAAAAAAAAACTTATTATCACATTACAAAAGATGATTATTTAATATTTATCTTTTAAATCATGAAAAATATATTTTTTATGTAGAATATCACACCTACAAATTTGCTTTAATTTTTTTGAAATTGTTTAAATAGTTTTGTCCAACCGACGTTCTCTGTATGTAAGGAAAAATAATACATTTGTATAATTATATGTATACAATATAATGTAAGGTAATATTAAATATATTCGTGTATATATGCTCAAATATATGAGATGAGGAAAATTTAAAACTTTATATAGTTTTGTTTAAGAATTATCCATACTTATACTTATGGTATTTGTGATACATAACAGTTTACAAATCATTGACGCGCATGTGTCACTAATACTATCAAATAAGTATAATATAAAATATTGTGAAAAATATCTTTCATATATGATGAAAACGTTATCAATAATATATTTTCATTTAAAATGTGTGGCATATTCGTATTTATATACATATACATAACATATATCAAAACTTATATTTCAGAAAAATCAATTTCAATTATAGTAAATTCAATAATATAGAAAATGTTTATCAAATAAAATACTTTAAAATTATATTTTTAATAATTTTTAGAATAAAATTTTCTGTTTTTACTACAACATAGAAAATTGAATTTTGTTCCACTATAAATAATTGCCAAAACTCGATTTGCAGTTAAAAGTCATTACTCCGAATATAACTAGAATTCGACAACAATTAAAATTCTTTAAGCTCTTGCTTAAATCATGATAAAATACTTTAAACAATTGAGCCATAATTTCATTAAAATACCGTTCTTTTTAATCTATTAATAGAAATGGCGGTAACTGGACTGTCAAAATTAAAAATGAATTAAAGAAAACTGCAATATTACGTCACATGTGAAATTAACGTTTTCTAAAATACATAAGATTTAATATCTTTCAATCATACACATAGCTTAATGTGATTTAGTATAGTATTATAAACATATAGAATTTAGCATTAAAAAAAAAACCAGAATAAAAGATGTAAAATAGAAAAACAAAAAAATCACCCTATAAAGGAGAACAATTCTTAAAACTAATATTAGACAAAAAATTATAATTTAGAAAATTATAATATAAAGTATTTAATTTAAAGTATACTAAAAATTATTTAATGCTATAACTAATTTATTTAATGCTAAAAAAATATTGCTTGCACAACCTATCGCATACCCGACCATTGTGCACTATTGTAACCTTCACGAGGAGAGTATTCTACAAAGAAGCAATTCCACAAAAATGACAGATGTCTAGGAAATCCAGTATGCAAAAGTATTTCGCAATGGGCGACCTAATCGACCTACCCGCTTCCAAGTTCTATTACGAAGATATTTCGGGCAATCGCCATCAAAAATCGTGTTAACACTTTTGACTCGGCTGGCACATATACGTTATGCATCAGTAAAGTTCAGTAATATTCAAAAGACAGGTTGAAAGGGTTAAACAATCTATACTGCATCGCAGACCCAGATATTCAACGAAGCAGCAATCGATCAAAAGTTTTCTTTTGCCCGAGATCCTGTCAAATTTTCTTCTATTGACGACAAATCTAGTCCAGACATGGAAAATGATATTTTGTTTAATAATGGAAAAACAATAGAAAAAGTACGGTAGAAGTAGAGGCCTAATCAACTCATCCTAGTCACCTCAAAAAAAACCAGAAAAAACCTTCAAAGAGTTCTGAGTTTAAGAAAGACTTTAGATGCTATTAAGTTGATATGTTTATGCTAATGAAATTTACTATTACAAACAACACTAAGATCCTTGACCTTCGCAGAAAAGTTGATATACGATTCCTTCAGGAAAATTCGAGGTAAATCAAAAGTATCGATAGGTCTACTGAAGATGACCATAGTTTGTCTTTTAGATGGATTTCGTTGTAAATCATTATAATGAGCTATTGAAATTGCGTATTACTGCAAGAGAAATGTCGAAAGCAGTCAGACAGATCGTTTATAAATAAACAGAAAATAGTGTTTATATTCTATAACCTCTTGATCAGAACTTTTAAACTTATATTCAGGGACGACGATTTCGACGTATACCTCGTATACCTCTTCATTAGTGTTTGTACTACGATAGACCATGAATTTTCTCAAAATATTTAGGTGTTGAGCAATAGTAGTTGAAAAGGTTGGTAAGACGGCTTCTTATTCAAAACTGTTTCAAAGTTAAACAAATTGCTTTAATATAATCTAATAATTGATTTAAAATCATTCATTTATTTTTGAATTTAATTAGTTTGCAAAGTAACATCTTCAGGCGTTGTTTATGGAAGTACTTAACATTTTTATTTAATTACAACATGTATAATCATTTTATGCAATTAGGCGTACGTTATAAAAATTTACCCACACTTTTTGATCTTACAGATACGGCATGATTCAGTTTTTAGAAAATGTAAACATATTTATTAAGATCATTGCATCAACAAAATGTTTACTATGCAAGCAAAATCATTTGAGATGACATTTTTTGAATAAAAGTTTCACACGTAATTTGTGGAGTAATTTTTTTTTGTTGTTATTATTTTATAGTTTTAATTTTAATGCACATCAGATATAAAGGCTTAAATTTATATTTTGTATTATCGTATACACATTGTTTTATATCATGCATAATACTTATATAATATTTTTGTTTGTTATGCCAAACATATTGCATAAAATAAGGGGAGGTTATCTGTTTGACATGCTGAGCATTTTCGTTCAACAAAAATGTCTTTATCCGTGATACAGAAATGCAAATAAACTATATAAGTCGGTTTATCTATATAGGCATGTGAATCTGCCGATCTGTGCCTCGGTCTGCATATGAACGCGGGTATCTCAATTTAGGCTTAACCGATTTTGATGAAAATTTATATCAGAGGTTAACTTCGCTGTGTCACGGATTGGTCAATTTTGAGAGACGCCAAGTCGCAAGAATTGAACTTCTGCTTCATGCTCAATCTGCATTTTTGAACATATACATATATCTAGAGAGAAATAATCAACCAATTTCGTTGAATTCCTTGAAATTTAATATATTGTTATAATTATTTTTGTAAAAACGGTGAACCAGTATATATTGGAAATATCAAAGTTCGGAACCAAATTTTCACTATGAGCTGATTTAATATCTTAGGACCTAAGAAAAGAATTTTTTAAAAATCAATATTTGATCGGAGCGCATAAAAATCAAAACATTCTCCTAAAAACTAAATTTACCTTTTTCTAGGCAAATAAACAAAAAGGAGATTTTCACGACCCTGTTATTTTAGCTAAACCAAAAATACACAACGCAACAAATCTGATCAAATCAGATTTTTTTATTTGATTTGCTGAAGTGCTTTTAGTTTTTAGTAGCAATTTCAATTATGTAAGAGATCAAAAAAAAACTTTTTTATTTTATTTTTACTTCATAAGAGATTCACGTGGGGTTTTCCGATATATTTACGGTTTCAGACATTTTTCTGATTTTCATTTCTTGAAAATTATCAATAATTTCCCCATATTTAATTGATCAGAAATTTCTTTTCAAAAGTCTTAAAAATGACACAATTTTTAATTGTAGAAATGCAAATAAAATAATAAAAAATAAATTAAAAAATTTCTTCATTCAAATATTCCACTATATAAGTCACACTTAATGCCGTCGCCTAAGACTTAAATTGGACCTATGTTTGTATTAAATAATTATTCTATAACTTGTGTAGTTAAAATAAATTTTTTAATACATATTGCATGTAAAGCGTCGGCTTTATCTAATATAACAATAATTTCTTGCTACTTGCCAGCGGACAAAAGTTAAAACTATTTTCTATTTTGTATGAGTACGTTTAATTTGAACAATTTATTTTCCAATCATTCTCCAGCTGTCGTCGCTCTATCCATAACAGCAGCAAAATTTTTTCGAAAACTTACTGTTAGAATTAATAGGAGGATTAGTTATTCAATACATAATTGATAAAGATCCCGCTTTGGTGTTTTAAAACAAAAAATTTAAGACAAACAGATTGGGAAGACTAAATTTCAAGAAAATATTGTTTGATTTCATATATCCAAAAGTATAAAATTATGTTCAATAAAGATTTTTAGCTGTTAAAACTTCATGACTTGATTAATTTACCACTTACATAAAGGAAACTCAGCAAATTGGTTCAGAGTTTCACGTTTTCTTTTACAAAAAGTATTCAAGACTTGGTTTTTTTTTGTTATATTGACATTTTAATTATATATACAAATACATACTTATGTATATACATATATGCACATTTTACATACAATAGATTTAACTTACCTGATGAATTTTGTGTTGAATATGGTGGCTTTTTCATCCAATCATAATATGGGCTTTTAACTAAACCAGTACGATGATTTTTATTTTGATGATGATGACTAATTTGTATATGTAATGATGTTAAATTTGATGTTGGACTAGATAATTCTGTTTTAGTCAATGTTGGTGATAATTGTAACATATTATTATTATTACCATTATTACCGGATCCACCATTACCACCATTATTATTACCATTATTACTATTATTATTACCACTACCACCACCACCACTTTCACCATGTGTTGATGATTGTTCTGAATTATTACCAGTTATATCAGTTAAATGTATACTATTATTACCATTTTGATTTGGTGATGATAAATCATGATGTGTTGATATTGAATGCCCTAATTGTTGATGTGCAGCAACAGCAGCAGCAGCAGCACTACTTGTATGATGATGATGATGATGATGTGAATGTTGATTTGTAAATGTTTCATGTTGATGCCAATCCATTGTTGGTCCTTGTGGAAATACATGATGTGGATTATAATAAACTGGTTGATGATGACTTGGATCAATATCACTTAATAATTGATGATTTGATGTTGGATGATAATTTGGTGAAAACCATGATTGTACCGGCGGATAACCAGTATGTTTTTGTGGATATGTTAAAGAATTATAATAAGAAACCATTTTTGTTTTTTACTTTTTTTTTTTTGATTATTTTTAATAATTATCTTAATCCTTATTTCTTAATACAAAGTAATTGAAATTTTTAAAATTTTTTAATATAATAAAAATCTCTGCGTATGTGTAAAGGTGTAAGTAAGTAAATTAAATAGATCATAAATTTTTATTTGTGTAAACTTCAAAAATTATTTTTTATACTATTTTTTCAAAATATTTTTATTGCGGGTGTTGTATAAATAAAAATTTTATGCTTATTTTGATTTATTCTATCTTTTTTTTCTATAAAAACTTAACTGTAATTCTTCACTATATATATAATTTAGGTATTATAAATCTTATTTTGTTATATTCCTTCGCTTTGTTTATTTATCACAATCACAGTATTATGCTACAATATATTTTATATTTTTGATATATATGTAATATATATGTATATGTATGAATGTGTAAAAATAATATAATTTAAATTAATTACATATAATATGTATTAAATGTTATTAAAATAAAACCTTTTATTAACTTTACTGATTTACGAATAATTATATTAAATGACAAAAATTATATGATCTCAGTAATATATGGTATGTATGGGTATTTTATTATTTTTGTTCAAAACCATATACAAGCTCTGTATATGAATTTATTGAAAACCACTTGATTAAATATTATTCTTTACAAATATAATTTATTAATTATTTTATTATTATATTGTTTTCATATACATACATTTATAATGTACTTTATAATAATTATAATGTTATACTCATCATCGTATAATAATAATAAGCAATAATAATATAATATATAGTTATAAGATTAATTTTAGAAATTCCGATAATTTATTATACTTAAGTTTATAAAATTTTTATGATTTTTATTTTTTATATTAACTCTTATATATAGGCATATAATGTGTCACTGTATTAAACGATAAGTAAATTTTGTAAAAAAAAAAAAAAAATTTTTTTTTTAATTTATAAAAAAAAATTTAAAAACAAATTATTAAAATACCATTAATAAAAAACAATACAATAATATTATTTAAAAATATTGTTATTAAAAAAAAAAGATTTTTATATATATTATATTAATAAATTTATAATATTTATTATACAGAACTTAAAAAATATAACAACCCGCCATTCCAATTGCACATTCAAAACTATAAAATAAGAGACAAGTGAATAATGAATGACTGACAAATAAATATAAAATTGTAATTTTTTTTTTGTTTTTCTAATTTTTTTGTTATTGTAGTTGTGTGTATAGTGAAAATATACTCGATGATAAAAATAATTTATACATAGGGAATATAAAAATATTAATGGAATTAGTGTAGTAGTAGTAGTAGCAGTGACAATAATATTATGGTGTTTTAAATATAGGGTGTGGTTTATTAAATCTATGTATATATAAATATAGAAATGCGCGCGAGTGAACATTTCAGGCGAATATATATGTATGTATATTACACAAACACATTCTTAAAATTTTATTAAACGTTAAATGAATTTTTAATATTATTTTATATATAAAATGCAAAATAATTTGTAATTATTGTGAAAATAAAAAATAAATAGGCAAATCTTTTTTTTTTTTATTAAAATTTAAATGAACCATTTAATTTCGATATGAAAACATACATCTGCACATAATAATAGTAAAATATTAATGAAGGCGGAGCGTTGCCATAAGTTAAAAAAAAAGAAAACAAGAAAAAATAATAATAATAATAAAAATAATAGAAATTTAATGGCGGTAAACTAACATAATAATGACGTCATAATAAAAAAATAAATATAATTAAAATTTTCTTCTAATTGAAAATATTAGAAATCTGAATATGTTTGTATATTTATCCAAGCATATACATAGATACATATGTACATATGGTATGTATAGGTATAATTCACACATAATTTTATATTTCTTATAATATGGGATATATAGAAACTATACTGGGCCTATGTAAGTCTGAAATATACACATATTTCAAAAAGGATCATAATATAATGTATATTATATATTATACTAATAATAAATTAACGCATCTATGTACATACCTATATACAATATAATAAATTTTCTATGATATAAAATAATTATATTTTATGTTATACAATATTATGTACTTACATTTATATATAATGTGTTTTTTTTTTATTTTAATTTTTTTTCCCTAAATACTTAATATAATAAAATATTATAAGTATAATTATGTTAATAAAAAAATTTATATTAATTTATTATTATTATTATTTGTATAAAATTAGGGTATAATGGCCTCATAATATTTAAAATATTATGTTATTAAGTTTTATTTATACGAAAAAAGAAACTAAATAAAAACATATATTAGAAATACATATATATAACATTATATACATATAAAAATGTATATGTGTATGCAAAAGAAAAAACTTGTCAAATCTAGGTGGAGCAAAGCAATAACTATATAAGAGTATATTTACACATAGAGGAACAAAACATGTTTTTTTTTTGTTTTATTGTAAATACAGTAGAATTACATTTTGTAGTACCGCAAATATGTAAAATATTACATGCACATATACAATATTATTATTATACAATTTATATTATTTATTTCATTTAAATATATAATCATTTTATCATATTAAATTTATTGAATTCGATAAACAATTTATTTTACTAAGATATTTAAAGTTATTTGTTTACATTGGCTATGAAGTTATATAGTTTAACTTTAGAACTAACGGCAGACGGTGGTTGTTGTTTGAAGTGTGCCCAAAAAAAAAGGTTTTGAATTTGTTATACCCGTACGAACGAATGTTCGAGGGACATTATAAGTTTATATGTTTGTATAGCGCTTAAAAATCGTAGATAAAACAAAAGTATATGTTTTAGATCAGCGTACAATAATCTGCTCGTCGATTGCTTCCGCGAGTCCATAATTGAATTGAACAATAGAGCCAATATTCCATTTAAATTTGATTTTGGATATATAAGTTCCTATTGCCATAAAATTTTATAAATAAGTTGGCCATATCTTAGAAACTATAAAGCGTGTATTCAAATTTTGCATAAATGAGTAGAATGATTTATATTTGCCATATAAATTAAAAAATTATTAATATTGAAGAAAATGAGAGGAAAAAGAAAATATTGTTTTTAAATTATAAAAATTAAAATATATATGCGAAAATTAAGTACAACCAGTGAGCAATGTTAGTGTTGAAGTTTTAGTATTAAAATTAAAAGTTTCAATTTATTTTTGAAAAACATTCGTATGGGTATACTTGATAATAACAGCTGTGAATCTCGCTCACCTTTCATCTCCACTTTTTATTCACTTTCAAATCAGAATTCTCTCCTGTGCTAATAAATATTTTATTGTTCTAATAAAATTACACATTTTTCAATTGGATTTTTGGATTTTTTCTCAAATTATCGACTGAACCTTAACCTCCAAAAATAGAGTGAATAAATTTTGTATACACATTTTAGAAAAAAAAAGATACGCAATATCGAAAACTTTTTCTCACTCGAAAATTACATTCTACAAATATTTGATAGTCGTTTATCTTCTTCTCATTTAGCGAGTAAAATAGTGAGATATGCGATCACTCCCTAAGTATATAGTACGCCATAATAAAATATTTCACTTTATATCTATCAAAAAATCAATTATTTTTATTAGAGTTCTACTGTAGTTCTCGCTTAAAATTATATTTTATATGACCATAATACCGTATAATTCTTTTCTCAAATAAAATAATAATTTATATATACATTCTTAATATATATATGCAATTATTTTAGTAGGTGTACTTTCAAAAACTATTGGTTGTTAATTAATTAAGTATATAGCTTATATGGGCTATAAAGTACTTTAAATTTGTGTACCAACTATATAAAATACCATTACCATGTAAAGTGAATTAAAATATTAAATGTACCATTTTATAATCATGTAATTTATGCTTGCGTGTAATATACATATATTTATATGTATATATATATATATATATATATATACATGCATATATGTATCTATGTATTTTATAATAGTGGATTTATTTAGCATATATATATATATATAAGTGTATATATGTAATATATAAATATTTGTAATGGGGGAAAATGAACCAGAAGATGCGTAAAATAAAATTCTAAAAGTTTTCTAAGAAAAAGAAAATTAATTTTAAAATTTTGAAAGATAAAGTTTTCCGACGATCTAATGTGGGGAGAGTGGAGAAATAAAAAATTATTTGAACTGTTTCTATTATGGAATTAATGTAACATTATATAATTTGACGCGTTATGTATGGATATATACTACTTATATATATATATATATATATATGGTACAGAGATGGTGTTATAAAAATTTTTATAAATTAAAGTAGATTATAAAAATGTATGTATAATTAACGGAAACTCCTTGATTTATAAATATATATAAATTTAATTTAATTATTTTATTTGATTTATTTCGACAAAGTAATTTCCGCGTAAATTTTGCATTTCTAATGAAGAATTCTGTAATGATAATTCTAATCAATGGAATGCATTTAATTTTTTAATATTTTTCGGTTATAGAATTTTGCCTATAAGCAGTAATTTAAAAATTTCAAGTTATTGTAAAAAAATTTTTTTATATTTAATTTAAAATTTTTTATTTAATATGTTATATAAAATAATTATAACACTTTATAATATTTAAGTATATGCATCCATAAATACTTTAAAGAAATTTGTCTATTTTTTATTGGTTCGGTTTAAATTATCGGTTTTTATATGCTATATATTCACATCTAATTTATATTATTAAAAAAATTTGAAAGTAATTTTATAATTTTAATTATACGACGTTGAAAGATCTTGATATGGAAGATTAGAACACCTGTACACGCATTTCTCATTGCAGTTGAAAATATTTATAAAGTACACTCTAATTATAAGTATACTCTACAGACGATGGAAGTCTATTCGGTTTGAATTCATTCGTTTTATTTCGTATTGTAATTTGTTTGAAATATGTACGTTTTT